GGAAGAACCCTTACTGTATTCTGATATCTTTCAGAGAGGCAATTCCTAGCGATGTGTCCTCTTTTACCACAATTATAACAAACAATGTTTCCATTGTTTGTTGGACAAAGTTGATAGGGTCTATTTTGGTTGATTTGGGGCTAGACAGAATGACTTTCGATCTTAGCAGCAAGGGCAATAGTTAATCGCTCACAATTGGTCACCATTTGTTGCATCCGTTGGGATAGCTAGTCAATGAGTACAGTGGTGAGTTCTTCTTTTCCCTCTTTATTTTGATAATAATTGCTAGCCTCAATCCTTCTTGCTGCAGTAATTGCATCTTCCAATGTTTTGAGATCGCTTATAAATATTAGCACCACAGTTTTACCGTGAAGGCCCCTAAAAACATTCTGATGATGTAAGTATCAGGCAATTTATTATCTGGGTCAACTCTTTTTAATAATTTTTTAAATTGGTAAGCAAATTTATCAACTTTTTCATTTTTTTTGCACCAACATATTCAGCTCAATTTGCTATTGATGCCTTCGCTCCGGGTGGCAAAATATTTAATAAATGACTTGACAAAGCTATTTTGTGGGTGCTCCTCATCATCCCAGAAGAAAAACTCTTCCTTATTATCTTTATACCAACTTGCCGCAATGCCCGATAAATAGCCTAAAGTGATTTTGATTTTTCTTCTCAAGGTCCAATTATTAGCGTCTGCAGCTTTTTCAAATGCTTTGACCCATTCGACGGGATCTTCTTCATTATCGCCTTTGAAAGTTTCACGTGAACCCAGTTATTTTCACGTTCACTTGGCCAAACATCATACATTGCTACATCCCAGAAGGCTTGAGCTATGTTTCTAAGAAGTTGGTGCGCCTGGTTTGGGTTAGCTTGCTTATTGCGTTCGTCAAGCCTATCTTCTTCAGTGATTCCGTCATCTATGAGTGGTCTCAAATCCTCCATGATAAGTAGTTGATTTTTTTTTATTTTTTTTTTGTTGAATAGTAGAAAATGGTTTTAAAATTTGTAATAAGGGTTAATAATTGGGTAGTATAGGGAAGTTCAATCTCACAGTCACCACCAAATGCA